TTAACAAATAAATATTTATTGGTATCAAATAATTTTCATTCAAGTCACTTAAATCATATTTGCCTCACATACTCAAATTATTGGTTCAATTATACAATTTATTTGATTCCAATTCAATGAAAATTATTTGATTCAAGACAATATTTATTTACTTTTATAAATTATAGCCATAATAAATAATAGCCTAATATCTAATAATAATCGGTTATTTCAATCAAATAAACTTTTTTCAGTGTAGTTGTTTTCTACTAATAATTAGTTATTTTTTTACTAAAAATGTAACATATATTAATTATATATAACAATATAATTAATTGAAGTTAGAAGTAAGACAAGATTTTAGTAACAATTAGTTATTTTTTTAATCAATTCATACTTAGAGATTTTTTTTAAATTTATTTAATTTATTTTGTTTACTTTATTTATTATGTTTACATTAATTATTTATTTACTGTATTTTATTTGTTTCATTAATTTTTGTTTATTTATTTTATATACTTTATTAATTTAATTAATTTACTTTCATTTCTTTCATTCGCAATCTAATTTTAATGTATTTCGTTATGAATTTAAAATTAAAATACAAGCAGATGAAATACTCTATTCATATGCCAGTATACTATATATAAACGGGAAAAATGAACAATATTAAAACATTGTAGTATGTAAAGAAGAATAATGCGAAAGGGGGATGCAAGAGAGAAACAAGATAGAAACGAGATAGAAGAGAGAGAAAGAGAGAAAATAAAATAACAATACACACGTAGGTACCACATTTTAAACTGAATCGATAATCTGAAACCTATGTAGCATTTATTGAATGGGCACGTGTACATTAAAGAATCTAAAAATGTGATGTTGGAGTTTTGCCAAGTTTGCAACATTACTGGAGCATATAAACTTTTGCTTATTTGCAGTTTCATCTTTTTTTTCAATTCTTTATTGTATAAGCGTAAAAACGTATTTGGCCTTCCAACTTTTCGAATGATATGAAAATTTAGTTTTTAAAAATCGTTAATGGTCGCAACTTTTTACTTTCTAAATCTGAATTAGTTAAAAATAACTAATATTATTAGTATTCGTCTTTTTACTGTTTTTTAATTATTTTATTACTAGGCTGACTTTTCTATTTTTTAATAATTTTCTTTATTATATTATTAGCTTGACTTTTTCACTTTTTTATAATTTTATTTATTATTATATAAATTGTTATAGACTGATTTCTTTATTTTTTTTATTATTATATTATAAAGCTCACTTTTCGCCTAATTGCTTTTATTTATTAAAAATTACTGATTATTAATAGAAAATTACTAACTATTAATAAATAAATAATTACAAAAACAGTCAAATTTCACTAATTGAATTATCGAATAATTTCAGATATCAAATAAATTCAGATATATTAATTCAAACGAATATTCAATTTTTTGTTCAAGCAAAAAATATGCTGAAAATTTGAGAAACCATTTGCAAAAGCGGTCAGTTTTTTGGAAAGATTATAAAATTTTACGTTAAATGCTTATATATGCCCAAGATTTTTTGGTTAAATAGAACCGGATACATGAAGTGATAAATATAGGTGTAAATTTTCGTTTTCAGTGAATATTCATTGTCCAACTTTGATAGTCTGCAACTTCTATAGAAAGATTTTCAATGCAGTATAATTCAAGAAATCAACTGTTCAATTCATTTAATTTAAATTTAATTTAAATTTAATTGAATCAATTAAAATTAAATTAATTAAATTCTAGTTTTTTTAAAATTTTATTTCATACAAGTTAACAGGTAATAAATTAATTAGTTTAATTAGAATTAATTTAATTTGATTTTAATTTATTCGGAGGGCCGAAATATTTTAAGTTTCATTTAAAAAAAATTTGTTTGAATCAAGTAAATCGTTTCCTCACTCTTGTAAATCTGAATTATTGAAAATTTCCACTAATTGCTAGTAACATCTCACTGAAACTTTACACGGAGAGACCGAGATTACTAATTTTTGTATAAAATCACACTAGAATTTACTATATTCACATTGCAACCACCGGAAATAAGGGGACTTTTTGTATTTTTTACTATTTTCTACACTAAGTCACTAATCCCGACAAATGTTCACCAAATTAGCAAAGTTTCTTACTATTTCGTCCAATAGTTCCAAACAACTGTAGTAAAACTCAGAAACATTGTGTACGTAAAATTACTATAGTCGTTGTAAATGCAGAAAGAAAGAGTGAAAAGAAAAAATACGGATTTTTGTCGCCGGTTTCCCGTCAATTCTTGACTAGTGGAGGTAAACTGGAAGGATTTTTACATACACAGACACACACACTCACACACTTATATATTTGTTTTTGGATAAATATTTGAAGACACACACATGTTTATTTCACTTATATGTATAGACGCGGTTAATTAATACACTAATACACAACTGCACGCACGACAACGAATTTCACTGAAAGTATACATCTTTGTTTCCTTATATATTGAATGATGAAAATTTACAGCACTTACGAGAAAGCAGTTTACTTTTAACAACTTATTATAAGACATACTTCTTGGGACAGGAATAAATGCAAAATTTATTAATTTATAATGGTCAATTTCTGAGATACCGAACGACCTACGTTTCACTTTATATTTAATTATTGTAGATAATATCCAAATTTATTTTACATACGCGAAACATAGTCACTGTCAATGATCGGAAGGCATCGGCTCATTTACGGAGATTGACGAGGTTAGCAACCAATAGAAATACAGGCGCCATATGACTGCACTCGCTAGCCACACTTGCTCACCAAAAATTACTACAGTGGATAGAAGATTTTAGTGGAAAATGTTTTCATTTGTCAGATTTTGTCTAATTAAATTAGAGAAAACTATAATCAATTTTCGCTACATTTACAACTCTTACACAAAATATTAAAACTTGCTATTTCAATGTAGCAAATTTATCTATTTCTTTTGTAAATTTATCTAATTCTGTAGTACATTATGCTAAAAGTCCCCTTATTTCCGGTCATTGCAACCGTTTTTAGTAATTTTTACGAATGTGGGTCTCTCCGTGTAGTAAAAAATTTAAAAACCACCAATTAAAGTAGAAAATTTTTACTAGCAATTAGTGGAAATTTTCAATGATTTGCTCTCTAAATTTAAATTAGTAAAAATGTTTGCTAATTTGAATTAGTAATAAATTATTAAAAATAACTTTTTATTAGTAAAATTCACTAATTCATAAGCAGAAAGGCAGACACTAATTCCAATTCTAATAAATAAAACACAAAAATAATTTTAGATGATTTTGTATAATTGAAATTAGTTTGTAAGCTTAATCCCAATATATAGAAAATATCAACTGCTTTGATTCAAAAATATTATTTGTTGCAATAATTATAATTAATTCAAACTTATTTTCTGTTTTGGGTAAAACAAAAAATATGTTTACAAAATTTACACTGAAAAAAAATTTAATTGATTCAAATAATCGATTAATTGACTATTATGAATTAAATATTTACTTGAATCAAATAATATTTATTGGAGTCAATTAAATGATATTTGAACTAACAATTTCAGTATTTGAAGCAAATAATGTTTAATTGACTCCAATAAATATTATTTGATTCAATTAAATAAATAAATCAAATAATTTTTTTTCAGTGTACCTATGCTTGATTCAAACTTACAAGTTGACTATAAATAATTAAAAATCAACCATAACTTATGTTTGAATTAAATATATTATTTCTTTAAATGAACCAAAAAATATGTTTCAATTGAACTTAAAAATGGTTGACTGTATAGCAAAGATAATTTAAGTTTGATTTAAACAAAATTTGTTTGAATAAAATAAATCGTATTCTCAGTGCAGAGACTCTATTCTCGCGATTTGAATCAGTGAAATTTCATTGAAGATCAGTTTAAAAATGATTGAAATTTCAGTCATTCTTCACTGATTGACCAATTAAAAAATAGCTGAAATTTTAAAATATGCGTGACAGAAGTTTCCAGTAATATTTTAATTTGACAATCATTGGAAAATCGTCACTGATTCTCAGTCTTTCATTGATCTTTAGATTTCCACTGATTCAGATTTAGAGAGTAAAAATTTGTACTAATTTAAATTTAAAGAGTGAATTAGTGGACGACTTTTCATAAATTCAAATTTAGAGAGCTGTATAGCTGACAGTTGAGAAATTCGGTCGAAATAGAAAATAAGAGTATATACGATTTGATAATTAAAAAAAGAATAATTTCTCGAAAAACAGGCGATAAATTGAACTGAAACACTGTTATTGAAGTAATTTTTTATTAAAATGATTTTTGATTTGAATCATCTTTAAAAATTAGTAGTGTGAGGAGAAATAAGGGGGAATGAGAGTTGATTTTTTGGCAGCGAGTGAGAGAGATAGAGAGAGAGAGAATAAAGGTGGGCAAATTGAAGTGAAACTTGTTAATATTGGTGAAAATCGGAGCTGGCACGCGTCTGGCTTGGGAAGAGCACGCGCTGCGCTGGAGGCAGCGAGCGTGCCGGCGCGGGGCAAACAAGAAGAAATAGTAGAGACACAGAAGAAAAGGAAGGCGCGCGCAATGCTGAACTGTGTCGGCAGTCGTGATGTACCTTCTTCGCAGGAGGCTGCTGCCTGCCGGCAGTAGTGGCCGCTGCCAGCCCTCGTGGGAGTCAGCTAAGGGAAATCAATATCTCACTAGGGGTAGAATAGAGTGAGTGTGAGAGCGAGACATTCGAGGAGAAAGCGAGAGAGTTGATTTGATTGAGCGAGCGAGAGAGAGAGAGAGAAAGGGAACAACTATAAAGAACTCGGCGAAAAGTATTTTCTTCTTCAACTCCGGGAAAGAATCTTAAAATTAAAAAATTCTCAATTTGTCAAATTCGAAAATTCTCAATTTGGCAAATTCAAAAGTTCTCAATTTGTCAAATTGAAAAATTGTCAAGTTAAAAAATTGTGAAATTTGAAAAAACTACTTGATAAACAAACTCTAAAGAAAACTTGATGTATATCCAAATGTCTGCAATTTGGGTGCAGAATAAAGCCGCACGCGACTCGCGTCAACTACATTGCGCTCTTCCTGCAGATGAGATCTGCCGGTTACGCACGCACGTTACCTCGGAGAGATCACGCTTTTCAAATTGCGCGCGCAACCCCCAATCGCGAATTCGCTGCAGCCATGACGGCCGCTTAGCGGATACTGGCGACGATACGCTCTGCGCCGAAAGCTCAAGCTCTCTCTCTTTCATCCACCACCCGCCAAACCACCCCACGCTTTACTCGCTCTTCAGCAAAACTTTCCCGGCGTCGGGACGTGCACACCACGACGCCACGCGTCCACTAATACTCCGTAAACTTTGTCTACATCAGGTGGAGAGAGAGAGCGAGTTTTGCACTAAAACCAGCGAGAGCCAATCCCCTCTCCCATCGCCCACTGAAAACTGCTACCATCTTCGCTCCGTCCTTTTCTACCTTTCCTCACAAGTTTCGCGCAACTTTTTCGCTCCCCCTCCACTCCCCGCGCTTTACTAAAAATCTGTCCTCTCTTGCACTGATGGAAAGAGAGAGAAAGAGAATCTACAGGAAGAGGTAAAGCTTTTCTTCACTGCTCTCGCACCACCGCGGGGAAAGTAAGTCCCGGTACTTTCTTTTGTCTTGACATTTTTTTCATTCCAAACTACTCGCATAAACTGCATATAAAGTGGGAAATTTTATTGTGGTTAAGATGCACTGGAGAGAGGTAGAAAAATGATTTGTTAGATTCGGAATTGAAAGAAGTGCGCTCAAAGTACCATTATTTTAATTTCCATTTTTTTTCACTGACAAGTTTTCTTTCTGCTTCATCAATTAAATTTGAAATTAAATTTAAATTAACGTCAATTATACATGTTTATTGGATTTCACTAGGAATTGCAGAAGATAAAGAGTGGGGATGAAGCGTGAGTAAGTAGTATGCGCAACGGAGATGCGCTATGTGCTGCTATTTATCAAAGAGTGAGGATAGCGTACGCTTCTTGTGTTATCGATGTCATTTTTTTAAATTTTTCTATAAAAATTCTAAGAAGTTCTTTACATATTTTTTTCTTAAATTAATTTAATATTTTTACACTTTTTCCCTGTTTCTCTTTTTTAACACTGAGCAAACATTATAATTAAATGAAATACAAAAATAATTTTAGATTTTGTTTAACTGAAATTAGTTTGTAAGCTTAATCCCAATATATATATATATATATATATATATATATATATATATATACAAAATATCTACTGCTTTGATTCAAAAACATTATTTGTTTGGATAATTATGTTAAATTCAAACATACATGTGTCAGATGGGGTAAATAGAAACAAGGGGTAAATCGAAACAGTCGTTTATTTCAGTTAAATAAAAAATTTTAAAAATAAATACGGCCTTACATCTTGAAGCTTATATCACCCCTAACAAGTTCTAAGTATTTTCCCATTTTCCGTTTGTCAATTAGCAGCAGTATATACAAAAATATTTTCTATTGCATAAAAGTTTGAAAATCAAAGAAGACACCCTTTCACTTTTTTGACTCGCATTTGGAAAAAAATAAACTAAAAATTCATACTAAAATTTATAATTATCTCTTATTAACACTACAACAAAAATCAACTTTGATTTTTTCATTTTGCAAACTTTATTAAAAAATAGGAGACTATTTCTTTTTACCCCTAAAAACTGGAAATTCGGGGTAAATAGAAACAGCAGAAATTTCAATAATATTTCTTATAATATAAATGAGAAAATTATTTCTATCATACTACAACGCTATTTTCAGCATTATACAATGAAAATGAGAGCGAATAGAAGAGAAAAAGAGAGAACAAACCTTTATTTGTGTAATGTGTTTCAATTTTTGTCATGGTTTATTTTTAAACTTTTGTAATGCATTATTATTTATTAATTTGAATTATTTTATAAATAACACAATTTCTTATGTAATTCTTTGTGTCTTTTAACATTTCCATACTTAAAATTGATTTTTTCTTAAATTTTTTTAAGAAATAATGAACTGTTTCTATTTACCCCTAAATTTTTGCAAAGTTGAAAAATTTAGGGGAAAATAGAAACAGTTGATTATTGCGATTTAATGATACCTATATTTTTTACTTCGCCATAAAATTGTTCCACGGAAGTGAAATAATAACTCAATACACAAAAAAACCGAAAGTATTCCGATTTAAAAGAAAAAACATATGTTATTGGTGAAACTTAGCAAATCTGTTTCTATTTACCCCAACTGACCCTACAGTGAAATCTTTTGGAATGCAACTCGATTTTTTAAATTTTATTACAGTAAATAATCCTTAAAAAATTGTTTTATAATTTAATTTTGTACCAAATATTTTTACTATATTTTGGAACTAAGCTCAAATCATTCTTCTTGGATATTTTTGATTGCAAAAATATTGAAAAGCAGCGTTGCATTCCGACATGTTTGATTGTATTCTGTTTTGGTTTAAACAAAAAAATATGTTTAGAATTATTATAATTGATTCCAACTTAAAAGTTGATTGTAATCACATACGAAATTAGCGACCCCGAAAACCGCCAAGAAACGAATATCGATCGAAACGCATCAATTTTAAAACTATCCGCCATCTTGGGTCCGATATTTTAACCCCTTGGCTGTCAACGAGATTTCCACTGTTTGGGCCAAAAGTGTGTTGAAAAAATTTTTAATGGATTTTTATGAAACTTGGTACCTTAAGGTTTCTGGGGCCGCTGATTACGAATCTGACATCAATTTTTCGAAATTCAAAATGGCGGATCCAAGATGGCGGAAATTTTTCAAAATTCGTCGAATTTGATTGAAACTTGTTACTCGGTGGTTTTAAGGGTCGCTGATTACGAATCTAACATTAGTTTTCCAAAATTCAAAATGGCGGACAACGAAATAAAAAATTGACCAGATTGGCTTGAAACTGAATACTTGGGGATTTTCAGGGTCGCTGATTACGAATCTGAAATCAGTTTTTCAAAATTCAAAATATCTGGTTCAATATGGCGAAAAATTTTTTTAAATTTATTAAATTTGTTTGAAACTGGTTAATCTGACATCAGTATGGTAATTTTTGGTGAAATCAAATTTCGATAAATACCCTGAAAAAATAATGACAGATTCGTAATCAGCGACCCTAAAAACCCCCGAGTATTCAGTTTCAAGCCAATCTGATCAATTTTTTATTTTGCTGTCCGCCATATTGGATCCGCCATTTTGAATTTTGGAAAACGAATATCATATTCGTAATCAGCGACCTCGTAAACCCCCGAGTAACCGGTTTCAGGAACATTTAAGAAGTTTTTAATCACCTTTTTTAAGATGCGCATATATGCGTCATGAACCACTTTTGGCCAGTTTTGTTTTGCGCATATATGCGTCAGCGACAGTCAACATGTTAAATTTTGAAAATCCAACATCATATTCGTAATCAGCGAACCCGAAAATCCCCCGAGAAACAAGTTTTAAGCATATCCACTGGATTTTTAATTTTCTCGTCCGCCATATTGGATCCGCCATTTTGAATTTTGAAAATCTGACATTAGATTCGTAATCAGCGACCCCGAAAACCTCCTAAAAATGAATTTCGATCGAAACACATCAATTTTAAAATTATCTGCCATATTAAGTCGACATATTGGATCCGCCATTTTGAACTTTGAAAAACAGACCTAAAATTCGAATTCAGCGACTCCAAAAACCTTATATAAGATGGAATCATATTTTTTAGACTGAACTTTTTTTTGGACCGTTTTAGATCCGTAAGCAATTATTGTTAACTGAAATGCGAAGGGGTTAAAGAATTTTAAATACCTAATTTTTCAGAATTTTAAATACAAATTGAATATTTTTTCAAAATTCATTAAATTCCTGTTGTATGAGATTATAAATACAAACACAAAGTAGGATTCTTCATTATTATGAAAAAACAAGTAATATTTATTAGAATTTAACAAAAAAAACATGGATATTGCAAAATATCGATATATTGATAATGAAACATCGATAGTATAAATGCCTCGAAGCAAAAATATCGATTCTTTTGCAGGAAACCTTTAAATATGCATAATATAATGTTTTTAAATAGTTTTAATGAAACGGCGTAGCTTTCGGCATGCCCCACACTTAGGTACCCCATTCTGACCCACACTGCATATTAAAACAAAATGCAATGTTTACAAGTTATTGTAAACAATTAAACAATCTATTCTTTTGGAAATTACTCTAGAATAAGTACTGAAAAAGATCCCACACTTGCCAAACTAAATGCATTATCCCAAAAAGTTTGGTAAGCACTTTAATTTTGAAAAAAATTCATATTTTTTTTGCTTAAAACTTAAAAGTTGTATAACTTTCAAAAAAAAATTTTCTTTGGAATGTCTTCATAATTAATAACAGTTTCTTATCAACATGAATGATATATGTCGAGGATAAAAAAATTAAAAGTACCTATCATGGAAAAACAGAGGTACCCCATTTTGCCCTACTCTCCCCTATATATTTATAATTGAGGCTCTTTATAAAATTCAATTCAAATATTTACCAATTATTAAATTCGTTTGTTTGAGATTTCAATTTTTTTATCTTTAATGAAATTGCTTAACAAATTGTAGGGATTATTTTTAATTAAATTACAATTAAATAATAAATACATAATTTCAATTCATTTGATAATGTTTTGACAAAATTTTCTTAAAAATTTAAGAATTTTAAAGTAATTAAATTAAAATTCCTTATAGAAATCCAATATTTTCATAATTTTAAATAAACTTATATTTAAAACATGAAGAAAAATTTTAAATTAATATTTAATTCTTTTTGATTTTTTTACAACAATTGAAACTTATTTGAAAAAATTTAAAAAGAAATTAGGATTTTTATGTTTTTTTAAAAAAATATTTTTCGATAACAAACACCAGAAGGTTAAAGTGATTCTAGAAGTTTGTTATTTTCCTAGTACTTTTGATAAAATTCCCTGATTTTTGCCTGATTTTCCTGACTAATTTCATTTTTTCTAAATTCCCTGATTTCTCTGACTTGTGGCAACCCTGATAAAAATAATAATTATTTAAAATAATTATTAAAATAAATATTTAAAATTTAAATTAGGTATATTTAAATAATTATTTAAATATAATTATTTAGTAAATTATTTTTTTCTATTAAAAGTAATTGAACATAATTAATTTATTATAATAAATTTTGTATTAAAAATGTTGTATTTGAGCATTATACAACTGGTTTGTTTTCGAGAAAATAATTAATATATACAAAACTATATAATTTTAATGAAAAGTACTCTATGTGTCAAAAATAAGTAGATTATAATATAATGCAGTCATACCTGTCGGAATGCAACGCGCGCTTTTCGAAAATTTTATTATATTTAAAATTGTCCAACAAAAATTATTTTCACTGAGTTCTAGAATATTGTAAAAATATTACAAAATTAAGTTATAAAACAATTTTTTAAGGATTTTGTACTGTAATAAAATTTAAAATATCGAGTTGTATTCTGACAGGTTTTACTGTAGGACTTTAAAAATTGAACATTGACTAAACTAATTGTAATGTCTTTGTAGGCGAAAGAATCATTTCGTTTAAAAATTCGACTTCTTTTTGAGATCGCTTCGAAATATTTTAAAACTTTTCATGCCATATCTTTTTTAAGAAAGGAATCGGATTTTATAAAAGTCGCATATTTTAGAGTTAAACCAAAAGGAGTAAAATTTATAGAATTATAATTTTACTTTTAACTTTTATTGTAAGTTTTTAATAGAATACAGCTAGTGCGACTTTTTAAACAAATAAATACAATTACTTAATTACACGGTAAAACATATAGAAAATCAATTTATCGAGAGTCGAATGTATGCACTTTTTTAAGAAATCGTCGATTTAATTAAAATTGATTAAAATAATTTACCACATTTGTTCGTATTACTCAATATTAAGAGGAAAATGTTGACAATAGTTCAAAGTTTAATTAATAACTTCAAATATTATATAAAATTAGTAATGAAATTAATTAATTAATAATTTTTAAAATTATTTGAAAATTATTAATTAAGTTAATTATTCTAAGTTTAATTACTTCGACACAAATGTCATATTTCCTAATTAGGAAACATCTTAATTTAAATAGCGTAGAAACTAGTACACTTATCCTAATACCTACCGCATTTCGAATTCAAATAATTGACTTCAATATTGTTTTGAAAAAAAAAAGATATCATGTCTCGCTTTTATTCTATCAACTTTCAACTTTTTTTTCAAATACATACTAATCCCCAGAACGGAAAATTTACTTGTCGACGTCAATCCTACGTTTATAGAAAGGAAAATAATAAAGCCATACAAACCACGGAATTTTAAATGAATGTGTAACTGGCTTCTTAGCCAAGATCGATAAAATAATATGGGTAATATGGATAAAATATGAAGACTGTTTTCTATACAAAAGGGTTTAATTTATATCTATGAATATTTTATCTTAATAATTCTGAACACCTTTGAAAATTCATGTGCGCAAACCAGCACGGCCCAATACTGGCCCAGCATTGTCAAAGAAAAAAAAATTGGATTCTTTAATTTATTAATTCAATAACTAATTAATTTATAATACATAACACTTATTTTCTTAAATTAATCGCAATCTTAAAATATTTAAAAATTTGTTACCGCTCGTGGGGATCGATACCTCAACTTGGGGTCGACTTTGTAACTTCACTTTACTTTCACTACACTCTTTAATTCACTTTCACTTCACTTCCACTTTCACTTCACATTAGTTTCATTCCACTCCCACTTTACTTCACTTTCACTTTTATTTCACTCTCACTTCACTCTCACTTCACTCTCACTTTTCTTTCACTTCACTTTTACCTCATTTTCACTTCACTTTCATTTCACTCTCACTTCACACTCACTTTACTTTCACTTCACTTCCACTGTCACTTTATTTTTATTGAATTTAACATTTCTTCGGAATTTTAAGAAAATTACTTACCATTGAAATTTTAAGAAAATTTGGAATGTAAATAAAGTTAAATGTATCAATTCATACAAAAATTTAGATCAACTTTTTATTTGATCCACATTTTTTTTATCAAATTGATCAACATTTTGGTGTGAAATTGATACACTTTAGTATCAATTTGATATTTCAAGAAAACTGTGATTTCGCACGAAAGAGAAAAAAATTTCCCTTCAACCTCTATTTTATATACTTTACAGTATTAAAATAATATTATTTTTGAAAAATACCAACTTTTAGAAGAAAACAATTAGAAAAAATTGTTCTTAATTTAATTGAGTGGAAACTTTAAATAAATAAAACTTTTTATGACAAGTAAATTAACTTGTGAATTAATCAATATTATAACATTTTCCAAAGGCAATTTCGCGTGACTTTCCAAGAATCTCTATCTTCGAAGCATTGTCTTTCAGGATACCAAAACTTTGAGAACATTACATTGTCGGAAGATCTGAAGTTTCAGGATTGAACTTCCTAGACATTGATTGAGTTGAGGGTAAAGCAAGCAGAAACTAGCATGGATATTGGCAAACTGAGGTATTGAGATTTCATAATAGAAAAATGATGATTTCATAACAATAAGTCAACATTTATTGACAGAGAAAGCTTTTCATTTTTCAATTTTCAATTAGAATTTATCAATTAAATGAGGTTTTTTATTTTTAAACTATTTTCAACATTACAGTAGAGTTGGGTTTAAAAAAGCCATTTGAGTTTTAAATATTAAAACTATTTAACTGTTTAGCCAAACAAATTTTAATGCCAAAAATTTGGATCAATTTTTGATTTGATCCAAACTTTTTGTATCAATTCGTTGCAATTTGATACTTTCAAGTTAAAAAAGGCAGACTTAAAACGTATGCAATGCTGATTTTCAATTTGTCTTTTTCCCCCACCAGGTGGGGCAAAAAAGCCACTTGCAGTGCTTTCGTAAAACTCTTTTATAACTCAGTCTTTTCATGAGATATAAAAAATGTCCGACAAGGATTTTGAGGCTTAATAACTAAACTTTCAGTACCAGTTGAAAATTTTAAAAAAGATTTAAAAAGTCCGATCTTATAGGCTAAGAAGTAAAAAATGTCTTTTTTATCCCACATGCACAAAAACGGCGCTTTCTGATAGCAGCCGACAGGGAGGAAAGTCATTCATTTCTTCGACCGTATGAAAATGGCGGCCGTGTTCTCCCAAGGGCAAGAAAATTAGCTGTTCACATGCATTTTTCTTGCCCAAGGGAGAAATCGGCCGCCATTTTCATACAAATCGAACAAGTGAATGACTTTTACTCCCTGTCGTCTGCTATCTGAAATCGCCGCTTTTGTGCATTAGGAATAAAAAATATCGTAAGTAACACGAGAATAAAGGCAGCCAATTTCTTTACGATGATTTTTGTGACACTCGTTCCGGTCTCGGGGCGCCTACGGCGCCCTCGACCTCCACTCGTGTCACAAAAATCACCGTAAAGAAATGGCTGCCTTTCTCCTCTTGTTGCTTAATATACTATTTCACCCCAATCTAATTTACATCCATTACAAGTTAAAAAAATTAATTTTATTTAAATAAATGATTATTTATCTATTATAATGAAGTAAATATTTTTTTCATCAAATAATTACACAGAAATTTGTGGAAATTAAATAATTAATAGGTTAAATATAATTAAATATATTAAAATAATTCATCGAAGGATTATTTTTACAAAATGATTAGAAATTATGTGTTTTTAATTTAGATACATTTTTGCCAGAGAAAAAATTAATCAAAAAATGGATTATTTATAATTATTTATGACAATTTAAGTTGAAATGCTTTTTCTTTTTAATATTACTGTTTTTTCATTTTTATCAAATAATTTTTATTTTTATCCAACACTTTTCATTTGCATAAAGTAATTTTTAGTTGCATCGAATAATTTCTAATTAAGTCAATTAAAAATATAATGTAATGATTATTTCATAATATTTGGATTAGAGTTCATTGACTTGACATTAATTTCCGTTCATATAACTGGTCAACTGTTACCATAGTTCTTCAGTTTTTACTAAACACTCTCTATAAATATGTCAGTGATTTTTCTATTAAATTTTTATATTTTTCGAAGGATTGAATTTTATTTATGTAGACAAATTATTTATGGAATTGAAATTTAAATGGGTACTTTTGATCGATTTTTTAACTGTTTATTTTTATTTCTATATAATTCTGTTTACATTTTGGTATAAAATTTGTGAATATTTTTTATTAAAATTGATGTGGAGGGTGAACGAAATCTCCGAAACGTCATTTTATTTTTAAAAAATGTATTTGATACAAATAAATATTTAAATATAATGGCCAACTAATGGATTATGTAAATAATTAATTTTTTAAAATTAATTCTTTTCATTGTTCATTTTCTTTGAATAGTTTAATTTCGTTAAATACAATTCAGTAAAAAAATTGTTTATATAAGAAATTGACCCACTTATTGTTCTATTTAAAATAGGCCTTGACAGAAGTTAAAGTAATTATACATTTTAAAAATCTATTTAAATTGGGGAAAAAATGTTTATGAAATGATTACATGATAGAGGACAAAAAATAATTTAGAGATAATTTGAAAAGCAATAGAGATTTGGATGAATTTTCAAATAGTGGCATTAAGTTTCGGCAATGCAGAGAGGCAGAGGAGGAGAGAGTATGCATAAGATCGATGGGAAAGTTTGAAAGGACTTGAACAATATTGTAGGTCTTTAAGGGTTTGCTTGTAGGAGTAATATGCAGAAAGTGGGAACACGCGCAAGCTAAAGGCGATTGCGCACTCAAAACTTGGAATTGAATGGCATCGTGACGCTTGCGTCAATCTGTGATTCATTGCCCTAGCAACCAGCACATTTTCATTTCACCTTCTCTGACTTTTCTTTTTCCATGCAAACTTTCTCTCCTTCTTCCTTCTTATTTAAACAAATCCTTATTCCCTATTCTATCAATCATAAGTCAAACTTACAATAAAAATAATTTTGCAAACGTATTGAAACATAAAGAATCAAATTTAAAAAAGAAAAACATTATTTAAGAACAACGGTCTTTGTTTTTAATCATTACAATGTTACTACAATTATTTTTTACTATGAATGAAATTTTACTTAAAATCAAAACCAAGTCAACGATTTATCAAAGAAAATCAAAGTGAATCTAAGTCTAAGACTAACTATGGTCAAAGTAAGTCAAAGTCAAAGTCAAAGACTAGAACTAAGACTAAGACTAAGACTAAGACTAAGACTAAGACTAAGACTAAGACTAAGACTAAGACTAAGACTAAGACTAAGACTAAGACTAAGACTAAGACTAAGACTAAGACTAAGACTATGACTATGACTATGACTATGACTATGACTATGACTATGACTATGACTATGACTATGACTATGACTATGACTATGACTATGACTATGACTATGACTATGACTATGACTATGCTATGACTATGACTATGACTATGACTATGACTATGACTATGACTATGACTATGACTATGACTATGACTATGACTATGACTATGACTATGACTATGACTATGACTATGACTATGACTATGACTATGACTATGACTATGACTATGACTATGACTATGACTATGACTATGACTATGACTATGACTATGACTATGACTATGACTATGACTATGACTATGACTATGACTATGACTATGACTATGACTATGACTATGACTATGACTATGACTATGACTATGACTATGACTATGACTATGACTATGACTATGACTATGACTATGACTATGACTAAGACTAAGACTAAGACTAAGACTAAGACTAAGACTAAGACTAAGACTAAGACTAAGACTAAGACTAAGACTAAGACTAGACTAAGACTAGACTAAGACTACGACTACGACTACGACTACGACTACGACTACGACTACGACTACGACTACGACTACGACTACGACTACGACTACGACTACGACTACGACTAGGACTACGACTAGGACTAGGACTAGGACTAGGACTAGGACTAGGACTAGGACTAGGACTAGGATTATTATTATTATTATTATTATTATTATTATTATTATTATTATTATTATTATTATTATTATTATTATTATTATTATTATTATTATTATTATTATTATTATTATTATTATTATTATTATTATTATTATTATTATTATTATTATTATTATTATTATTATTATTATTATTATTATTATTATTATTATTATTATTATTATTATTATTATTATTATTATTATTATTATTATTATTATTATTATTATTATTATTATTATTTTTTTTTTTTTTTTTTTTTTTTTTTTTTTGGTTTGGGACTTTTGGGAAATCTGCCTACAGATACCTTGGATTCCGCACTCCAAGGTTATGTGGGGTTGGTATGATAAAACAAAAGGAAATATAAAAAAAAGAAAAATAAATCTATAAAAAATTAAATTTAATAAACTGGCGACCTACTGCCAGCCCGACCCACTAAAACCCGTAACCCTTCTTCTGGAGCCCTTTACCCTCCCTCGGAACTGTCGTAAGACTTTAGCCTTCGAGGGTGGCGCTCCAACTCTGTCGCTAATGCGACTTTCTGCTTTTCTCTGCGGTTATCCTGCGTTAATAGTTAAAAATTTAATACTATTTCACTATAAAGCGGAACTAACAGCACAACAATAATTAAAAATAACAAATGTGTAATTAAGTGTAAAAAGTCAGAAGATAAAATTATAAACGGATATATAAAAAAAAGAAAAAATAAACGCGTATAAAAAATTCAAAAAACATAAAACTGTACAAAGATGAATAAAAAACACAAACAATTAAAAAATGTATAAGGACAAATAAATCACAAAATAAATTAATAAAAAACAAACGAACAAAATTAAAAGCTGTTTAAATTACGCTTTTTGGCGGCCGTCGAGATCCTTCCTCGACATAACCGAGATTATGAAGTTCTCGACTTGCCGCCAATTCTCCTCTGACTGGGTCATCAGCGATACCATGTTCTCCGGTGTAACTTGACTGTTTACACCTTCGAACATGGCCCGCCTCTCCAAGTCCCATTTCTTGCATGAGAAGAGGGTGTGCTCCGCGTTGTCCTCAGGGAACTGGCAATATGCACACACCTCGTTCTCGCGTAATTTAAAGCGACACAGGTACGAGTTAAAACACCCGTGACCTGTGAACGCCTGAGTCAAGTAATAGGAAACCTGACCGTGTTTCCTATTTATCCAGGTGGCGAGTGCCGGGATAAGGCGATAAGTCCATCGACCTTTTTCCTCACCATCCCATCTTTCTTGCCATCTTTCTATGAGCCTGTGCCTCGCTTCTTTGCGGATCAGGCCCTTGCTTGGTCTTAATTCCTCATTCAAGGAACTGCTTTCTTTAGAAAAGAGAAACATTTCTTCCCTTTCCCTCGCCAAAAGATCTGCTGGCGGGACACTTGCAAGGACCTGCACAGCACTCGTAGATACCGTCTTATATGCAGAGATGATACGCGTTGTTATCGATCTCTGCGCAGACAGTATCTTTTCACAGATGGTCACACATCTTTTACTCCTCAGGGATGGAGCCCACGCTGGTGCTGCATAGAGCATTTTAGCGTGGGCGACACTCGCCACCAGTCTTCTTTTTTGTTCACGGGGTCCGCCAACATTTGGCATTAGCCGTGAAAGATTAGCCGCACACTTGATCGCCTTATTTGACGCCGTAGCCATGTGGTGGTGGAAGTTTAATTTCCCATCTAACTCCACACCAAGATATTTAATTTGCTTACTCCACTTGACCTCGAATCCGTCTATCACGATTCGTGGGAGCTCATAACCACGTCTGTCTGTGACCAGCAGTGCCTCGGTCTTTTCCAGGGCCATTTCAAGACCTCTGGTATCCAGCCAGCTTTTAGCTAGTCGCAGACATTCGTTCACCAATGTCCCAAGAGCCTCCTCACTTTCGGCAGTGCACACGAATAACGCGTCGTCCGCAAAGCCGATGATCACCGCACCTTCGGGCAGATCCATTCGCAGAAAATCATCGTAAGATACATTCCATACAAATGGACCCACCCTCGACCCTTGAGGAGCCCCACGCTGCATCTCTTCCTTGAGAGTGCAGGTGTCTCCCTCATATATAACCCACCTGTCGCTAAGATAATTATCCATTATCCGCAACAAGTAGGGCGGCATGTTTTTTTTTTCCATCGACTCGATGAGATCTTTCCATCTTGCGGAATTAAACGCGTTGCGTATGTCAATTGCTACCAACGCGCAGAAGCTCTTCTTTTTCCCAGGTCCCAATTTGTTTTTTCCTGCTTTGGCTATGTCCACAACTGCCTGGATGGCATCAACCGTGGACTTGCCTTTACGGAAACCAAATTGGTGATCGGATAGACGATTCTCTTCGGTCAAGTGGCTTTGCATTCTCTGCAGAACCATATCCTCTAGAAGTTTACCCATCGTATCTAGCAGGCATATAGGCCTGTACGATGAAACCTTATCTAGAGGTTTTTCACCTTTCCTTAGGAGGACTAACCTCTGTCGCTTCCAGTCGCGGAAGAACTCTCCTCTCTCAAGGCAAAGATTGAAGCATCGAAGCAGAATCTGGGGTGAAGTGTCGATTACCAACTTTAGGATCTCGTTACTTATCCCATCGATTCCAGGCGCCTTGCCTGTTTTCAATCTTTTGCCTGCTTTTTGCAGTTCACTAAGTGTGAAGAGTTCTTCCTCTTCGACTTTGCAAAAACTCCAGTCCCTTCTAAGGTATGGTTCCGCAGGAGGAAACAAAGAATTTATTATCTTTCTGACCCAATCGGGATTGTCCAGGCCGGGGGTCTTTTGCCTCGTCGCTAATTTCTTAGTAACGATTTTAAAAGCCAGACCCCATGGGTCCTTATCGACTTCCTCGATTAGGTCCTTCCAGCTATGGCGTCGCGACTTGCGGATCTCTTTCTTGAGGTTCTTTTTTGCCTCCTTGAAAGCCTCTTTTAGCAAGGGATCTCCCTTAGATCGGGTATATGTCCTTCTTGCTTTGAGGCATTCCTTCCTCAAGGAGGCTAGCTCCTCTGACCACCAGTGCAAGGATTTTCTTACGGGAATGGCGCCTTTGCGTGGTATTGACGCATTGCAAGCGGTGACTATCATGTTTCTCACCGCTCGCACCTTCCCATCCAGACTGCTCGGCCTTTTCACCCAGCCCAAGTCCTCAATCAAAAGGGATTCTCTTAGGGACCGGCCGAACTTTTCCTTGTCGAGTCTCTTCATATTCCACGAGGAGGTTTTGCGACTAGGAACATCCTGTCTTTTTTCTCCTCGTGTGCTTCCCATCGAGACTGAGAACTCAATGTACTGGTGGTCACTTGCGGTATATTCCTCTGAGACCCGCCAGTCGCTTATGCGGCTAAATAGTTTAGACGATGCGATCGTTAGATCTATTATTATTATTATTATTATTATTATTATTGCTTAGTAATTAAAGTAACATTTTCAGTAGTAAAAGGAGTTTCAAATCAAACAATTTGCATTACTAACATTCTGCAGTAAACAAAATATAATTTCAAATAGTAGAAAGTAAATAAAGTCAGACAATTTTGAACATTATTAGATTTCACTTCCGGTAAACAAAATAACGTTTTAAATAGTAAAAGTAGAATCAAGCCAGACATTTTTAATCTGCAGTAAACAAAATATCTTTTTTAGTAGTAAAAACGAATGTAAGTCAGACAATTTGAGTTACTAATAGTTTCCCAAAAAACAATATGTCATTTTTAGTAGTTAAAGTTGATTGAAGTCAACCATTTTGTATTTTTTAATAGATTTAAGTTCAGAATATAAAATACTATTTTGTTTACTGAACGACTGACTTTATTTGACTTAAAATTTCATTTAATGAAAACTGTTAGTTATGCAAATTGTCTGACTTGCATCTTCTATTACTTCTGAAAATTTTGTTTGATTACTAAAAATTAACAAGAATTGGGACGCATTTTAAGTAGTAGAAGTTAAATAAAGTCAGACAGTAAATAAAAATACATCCTAAGTAGTAAAAGTAGATCCACGTCAGACAATTGGCATTACAAATAGTTTTCAGTAAACAAAATAACATTTTCAGTAGTAAAAGTGGAATCAAATCAACAACTTGTAGCACTTTATCAGGTGATACTAAACAAAACTATCTTTCAGGTAGTGAAAGTTTCATTATGTCAAACAACTATTATTATTTTAATAGTCTTTAATAATCGAAATAACATTTAAGTAGTAGAAATTAAATTTAGTCAGAAAATTTGTATTAATGTTAATTTTCAGTGATTAAAAAAACATTCTCAGAAGTAAAAGTAGTTTCACGTCAGACAATTTGCATTACTTATAGTTTTCACTAAAAAATTGCATTATAAATAGTTATTATAAGTAAGTGCTGATTCTTTTTAATTTTTTGTGTTAATTTGAAACTAGGTTATTTAATATATTTTAGATGTAGGTAACAAAGACTTGAGCATCAATAAATTTTAATAGTAATTGTAATTCTCTTTTCTATTTATTAGTAATATTTAACTTAATTGAAATGAAAAGATAATAAGTTGTTAGATAAAATATTGTTTTTTCAAATAAAGAAGAATTTATAAAATGTTCTAAAGTGATATAAATTAGTATCTTTTTCAGATTACTTTTTCAAAAAACAAATCCTAGCAAGCAACAGCCAACCCTCCGCCTTACTTATACGCTTTCCGCTTCCGTCGAAAACGTAGCAACCAAGTTCGATAAAGTTTTCGACATCATAATAACTTCACAGACTCTAAATGGCACGTATATCCTTAATAAATTGTTCTCGCCAAGTTTCTTGAAGGCGAGGCTGTATAAATACCCCTTCGGCTCCCCCACCCACTTCTGACAATCTCACCTAACCCCCTTAACACCCAATCCCCTCAAGTGACACTAACTTAAACTCTTATTTTGCGTTCTTCTTCATCACAAATTGTTTTACATTATAAAATTAAAAAAAAAATTGTCTGACTAATCTCTACTTTTTCTACTTAATAAATCCATTTTTAATGATAATAAAAAATGCTAATTTTTGACAAAACTTTCACAATCCAATGGCTTTGATTTATACATAAACTTTGATAGGTTTATATACGTATAGACTTGATTTGTCATTATCGAAATGATTCTTGTCTGAGCAAACGATACTTTTTTTACTAACAGACACTAAAAATGATAATTATAAAAATAGGTCGTATTAACTTATTATCAAATTGGATGAAAATAAAGTAAAATTAAAATTGAAGCGTTACATCCTTTTTTAATATTAAACAATTCCCTGGTGATTTAAATATCAAATATTTGGAAGCTAAAAATGTTATATACATGACGGGCTAACTGAACTGTATTCATTCTACTATAATATGAGAATATAGACTGAGAAGGCTGTTTTATTTGTATCTCAACACAAATTGTGCCAGAAAAAATTTCAACTTCTACGTAAAAAAAATAAAGATTACTGCCACAAAATGTTAAAGTGATACAAATAATAGGACACGATTCAAATGTTACTACTTAAATGGAATATTTTTTCCTGGAAAGTGTCAAAGTGATACAAATTGACTGACCTTGACTAACTAAAATGTAATTTTGTTTACTGAAAACTATTAAAGTGGTACAACTTGTCTGACAAGATTCTACTACTACTACTTAAAATGAAAATTTGTTTACTAACAATGATACAAACTGAATGACTGTATTTAACTTTTACTACTTGAAATGTTATTTTGTTACCTGAAAATTAAAATTGATGCGAATTGTCTGACTTGACTTAACTTTTACTACTTAAGTGGAATTTTGTTCACAGAAAACTGTCAGAATACAAATTGCCTGACTTGACGTTACTGTTACTACTTAAATAAATAATATATCTGACTAATATAAAAAAGATAAAAATTGTCTGACTAGATTCTACTTTTACTACTTAAAATATTATTTTGTTTATCAAAAGTGAAAACTAACAATAATACGACTGTCTGACTTTACTTAACTTTTACAATTGAAAATGTTATTTTGTTTGCTGAAGGTTAACAGTCATATAAATTATCTGCCTTAATTCAACATTAACTATTTAAAATGACATTTTGTTTTTTTTTGGTAAACTATTAGTAATGCAAATTGTCTGACGTGAATCTATCTATACTAATGAAAATGAAATATCATCGTTTACTACAGATAAGCAATGTTAAATACTGTCTGACTCAATTTAGGTTTTACTACATAAATGGAATTTTTTTTACACAATAATCTAAGAATACAAATTGTCTGACTTGACGTTACTTTTACTACTTAAATAAATAATATGTTTGCCACCATTAAAGTTTTACTACTTAGAATGTATTTTTATTTACTGTACACTATTAAATTGTAACAAATTGTCTGACTGGATTGTACTCCTACAATTTAAAATGCAATTTTAGTTACTGAAAGTATTAGTAATGCACACAAAAAAAATATGGTAAATTTGACTACTTTTTTACTATTTCCTGTAGTTCCTATAGGCGCCCGTAACATTATTTAGTAAAATGAACTATGACAGAATAGTTAGTCTAACTGTAAAATGTAGTAATAAATACCATTTTTACAGTAAATTTAACTACTAAAACAGTTATCTTAACTATTTGCTGTTAGTCATACTAACTGCTTCATTTAGTTGCAGTAACTAAATTTTCATAGTTCCTATAGGCGACGTAACAAATTGTAGTTGTAACAACTGTAAAAATTAGTTAAATTAACTATTTAAAGTAGTAAAATGAAATTATTTATTTGTTTTTTATTATTATTGAGGTCCTTTTTTTTATATTTTCTCTTACATATTTTTGTTCATATATAATTTATATATTAAATTCTTATACACCTAACAGAGAAAAATCCCCAAACGCCGGGGATTGAACGCACGACCCTAACATTCGCAAACCGATAACCTAACCACCTAACCACGCTCGCACGCTACGATGACTGGCATTGTACTTGAGGACATTCTTCTTAGATTCAGTCATAATAACTACTCCGTTTAGTTGCAGTAACTAATTTTTTAAGCTCAAGGACTTAGTTGAAATGTAGCCAGCATATGATTTTAAATGACTCAACGATAGTGCAGTAGTTAAAAGTACTGTTGAAAATAGTTATTTTCAGAATTTCTGTAGTAAAATTATCCACTTTTTACTAGTTATAAAAAAATTAAACTTACTATTTTCATATAGTAAAAATAACATAGAAATTGTTACTTTTATGACTTTTGTAGTTATAAAAATAAATGTTTCTTACCACCATAGAGATAAATTATTAAAAGCTAGTAAGAATTGGTTCTTTTAACTACATTAAACACAAAAATAACTAATTCCAGCGGTTGTTTTTACTCTTTGGAACAGTAAATTTTAATTTATTTTGCAAATAGCAAGAAATGGATATTTGTACTGCAGAAATTCTGAAAATAACTATCTTTAACAGTACTTTTAACTACTGCACTATTGTTGAGTTATTTACAATCATAACGTGTAGTAGTAATTTTAACTACATAAAACCTACTATTCAATTTTAGTTCCACTAACTATGGAAGTTTAGTTGAAATGCTGCTGAATATGGTAGTTTTAACTACTTTTTTCTAACTACACAAATGTGGTTGTTTTTACCATTCGCATTTTTTTCTGCATGCAGAGTGTCCTACGTGAATCTGCTTTTTCTTATAAGTTTTTCAATTACTAAATTAACATTGATAAAAATTGTCTGACTAAATTTAACTTCTACTACTTAATATGTTATTTCGATTATTAAAGACTGTTAAAATAGTATTAGTTGTCTGACTTAAAGAAACTTTCACTACTTACAAGATTCTTTTTTTTACTGAAACCTGCTAAACTGATACAAATTGTCTGACTTGATTCTACTTTTACTACTTTAAATATTATTTTGTTTATTGAAAGTAAAAACTAATAATAATACGAATGTCTGACTTTTTTTAACTTGTAGTACTTAAAATGCAAATTTTGTTTACTGAAAAATGTTAATAATGAAAATTGTCTTTCTTGAATCTACTTATACTACTGAAAATGTTGTTTTAATTACAAAGAATTAACAATGATACAAATTGGGCCTCCTAATCCTTATTAATTTTTAGGAATCAAACACAACCTTCAGTAGTATGAAAGTATATCTAGATTAAAGTCAGATAATTTGAATGACTAACAATTTTAAGTAATTAAAATTAAATTTTAAGTAGTAAAAGTCAAATAAAGTAAGACATTCAGTATAAAAATAATATTTTAAGTTCTAAATATAGAATCAAATCTGAAAATTCGTATCGCTTTACCAGTTTTTAGTAAATAAAACTTTATTTCGTGTAGTAGAAACTTAATTTATTCAAGCAACTTATATTATTTTAGCAGTCTTTACTAAACAAAATAACACTTTCAGCAGGAAAAGTTGAGTCAATTCAGACAATTCGTAAGACTGAATTCAACTTTTACTTCTTAAAATGCAATTTTTTTTTTAAGAAAACTATTCGTAATGCAAACTGTCTGGCGTAAATCTACTTTTACTACTGACAATGTTTTTTTAATTAATTAGTATTAACAATGATTCAAATTGTCTGACTGAATTCAACTTTTACTATCTACTTAAAAACAAAAAATAATTGTTAATTTACAACATTATTAATAACGTGATGATGTCTGACTAAAACTTTCTTTTTCTACTTAGGAATTATTAACTTACAAAAGAATTATAATAAATAATTTAATATATGAAACATTTGGTTTTAATATCACATGCTGATTGGGAAATAAGGAGCATTCTTATATATAAATAAGTAATGTCTGACTAAACTGCACATTTTTGACTTAAAATTTAAATATGTACCGTTCCACATATTTTGTTTTATAATTACTAAAAACAACTATTTACAGAAAAGGTTGTTTTGTGTCACTAACAAACATTTTAACAAGATGATATATAAAAAGCTTTTAAATTGTTTATTTTATGATACTTAAATTTAAAAACTGGAATTTTTATAGGTACTAATTAGTAATCTAGTTCAATTTATAAAATTGTATTAATTCGCAGTATAATAAATTTGAAACTATTAAACTAATACATGAAAAATTTTACTTCTGTTTAAATATGAATCAGTTAAAATTTGTGTAGTTAAATTAAAGAGTTTTAAATTTAAATAGTAGTTTAGTTTAAATTTTAGTAACACGAGGCAAGAGCGCGAACCACTAGACTGAGTTTTAATATTAATGTCTGTGATGTATTTTAATTTTTAATTTTGCAAACTTTGTTGTCATTTAAAACAATATTAATTTTTGCTCGGCTATATTGTAATTAGCGAAAAAAATTTGTGTTAAATTAATTATTAATTAATAAAAATTGCATTAAATAGAATAATTGTAATATTTTTCTCAATATTTGTCAGTCATATTAGATTCACCTAGAAGTAACTAGTCCCAAGATCCTTTAAGATTCTTCTAGCTGATATATTCAGTATTATCTTCTATCGATTTTCGGATTTAATTGACCTTTACTCCCATTTCTCATCGAGTATATACATATAATTAAAGTTATCTGGAGAATGTAATCCATGATATTAAGTCATATTTTACTAATCTCTCTATACGTGTAAGTTATATTTCATGTATAAAATTTTATGTTTAATTAATGTGAAAAATTTAACGATCCATATATGTAAAATTTAATTTAATGTTAATATCTCATATAAAAAAATTATAACTGGCTTGGCACAAGAATCATACAGGAAATTGAATAAATTATTTATCAATATTTAAATAATAGAATTAACATTTTTTAAATGTTATAACAAGTAAAAAGTGTGCAGTGAAATTCGGTTAAGAAGTTAAATAATTTTGCAGATGAAATATTCTGGTTTATCGATCGCTTTCTTACATTCAAAGAAGCCAGTGGGTTCATTTCCGCTCAGCCAACTTTGTACTTTTACTTTGGAAAACTTTTGCATGCGCTAAACTTTTCGCAATTACTCCAATATCAAATTGAACGAATGGTAATAAAACTTTCCATTAAAACACTCTTATAATTTTATAAAAATGAATTCCTTAAGAACTTGTATAATATCGATTCTGTCATATTCTCTCTGCATTACT